GGTCCGAGGGCAGCTGTGTGTTCTCTCTTCACCCCTGCGGTTCACATGGCGTGAGGCTCACCTGACATCAGACCAGACAACTGGCAAAACTGCCACCACAGAAATCAATGTCGACACAGAACAGCAGGAGGCGGAAGACCCTTAAAGACAGGTTTGCGGTGGGAAAACAAAGGAAGGCTTTCTCGGTGAGCAGGTGAGCAGGATGCACCAGCAAGAGCTGCTCTTGTTTGAAAAGCAGAACCACCCAACACGAGTTCAGGGTCCCACTCCTCCGCGGCCTGGCTTCAGGTGAGCAAAGTGGGCCGGGGTCCGGCCTCTGAGCAGAGGAGGAGAGGAGCACGTCTGGCTCCGTGGGTCATTAGGGGCCGGACACGGGTGGGCACACTCCTTAACTGCAACTTCTCGGGGGCTGCACACGCTTCTCCGTGTTTCTGAGACCTACACGCTGAGCACACAGTCTTGAGCTCCGTTCACCTTGCTCACCACCAAGCCCCCTGAGCTGAGCTGCCCCCATCCGCCACTGGCCTAGCCCTCAAAGCCGCCTCAACACAAGAGTCCAGACCCCTCAGCTACCAGGACGCTTTACTGAGCCGAAGCCCTTCGCCCGCGCCCCCGGGAGCCGCAGTCCGCGTGGCGTCCCTGCGCGGTCGCCGTGGGAGCACCCGTGGCTGCCGTGGTCCGGAGTCGAGCCCAGGGAGGCCGTGGGCCGCGACCGTGCCTGTGCCCAGCCGGGCTGCTCGGCGAGGACTCGCCCTTAGGAGAACTTGCCGAGGTAGTAGTTCTCCCACCTGCGCACTTTGTTGATGAGGGTCCTCCACTTGCCGGGGCTGATACTCTCCATCCCTTTGCTGATGAGGTCACTGAGGAGGAGGAACTGGTACGTGTAGAGGCTGTCGATGGACTTGAGGCAGAACTCCTTCCTGTGGTTGATGATGAACCACTTGAGCGCGGACCAGGCCAGGTCCAGCGGGTTCAGGTAGTTGTACGGGGCGGGCAGGCAGAGCAGCTCGTGCCCACAGGCCTTGGCCACGTCGGGGCAGCAGGTGATGCTCGTCAGGTTGACGACGGACCGGGCGCGGGCCTGGACCTGGGGCTCTCCCTCCTCCTTGGGCCTGGCCTCCGGCCGCCGGCCGTCCTTGACCACGATGGCGCACTTCCCGTAGGTCTTCTTCACCACCTCGCAGAACTCGGCGAAGAAGCCGTCTTCTGGGCGGACGCTCAGCTCGTCTCTCAGGAACACCCGGTACCGCCACGGCACCCAGCCCTGGCTGCCCCCCGCGTGCACCACACACCAGCTCGGACTCGGCACGCAGAGCTCGCGCCCGAAATCCTCCCCCGTGGCCAGGCTTTCGGGGATCTCTGTTTCCCCCAGATACACCGTCGTAAACCCGTCAAACTGCAGCGCTCTCAGCATCTTCAGGTACTGGAGGCATTGCTTCCTCTTGATGCTGTCAAACGGGCTCCTGATGACGATGTTTCTAAAGAGCGGGTGTGCGCAGCGGGGCATGGCGGGCCCCCGTCTCCATCTGTGAGTTCCCCCCGGAGCAGGGCCATGACCTCACAAGGGCCTTCCTGCTGGGCCCGCCCACGGACACGCCAGGGCGATGACCTCACAAGGGCCTTCCTGCTGGGCCCGCCCACGGACACGCCAGGGCAGTGACCTCACAAGGGCCTCCCTGCTGGGCCCGCCCACGGACACGCCAGGGCAGTGACCTCACAAGGGCCTTCTCACTGCTGGGCCCGCCCACGGACACGCCAGGGCAGTGACCTCACAAGGGCCTTCCTGCTGGGCCTGCCCACGGACACGCCAGGGCAGTGACCTCACAAGGGCCTTCCTGCTGGGCCCGCCCACGGACACGCCAGGGCAGTGACCTCACAAGGGCCTTCCTGCTGGGCCCGCCCACGGACACGCCATGCGATGACCTCACAAGGGCCTTCCTGCTGGGCCCGCCCACGGACACGCCAGGGCAGTGACCTCACAAGGGCCTTCCTGCTGGGCCCGCCCACGGACACGCCATGCGATGACCTCACAAGGGCCTTCCTGCTGGGCCCGCCCACGGACACACTTGGATGTGAGAACATCCCGGGACACGTTCAGAACAGTCCCTCTGGCTGACATGATACGTCACCCGTGGAAGGTGTCTGTGTGGCTGTTCGTTTGCCAGGGCTGCCATGACACAGCGTCGCCGGCTGCTTGGCTTAGACAGAGGTTCACTTTCCCACCGTCCTGGGGGGCGTCCCAGTCAGGTGCTTGCGGGTCGGGGTTCTCCCGCCGCCTCTCCGTGGCCGGTCGATGGTGCCTCCTCCCCGTGTCCCCCAGGTCTTCCCTCCACTGTGAGCGCATGTACAAGGGCACCTGCCGGGCCCTGGAGGTGGCGGCTGGAACCCCCGGGCCTGAGAGGAACTGATAGGGGACTCGGTGCCCGGCAGCAGCCGCCTCGGCCAGCGCCTGGGTGGGACCGGGGTGGCCTGGTCGGCCGCAGCGCGGGGCCTGGACAGAAGCAAACCATTGCACCGGAGGCCAGAACCTCGAGAGCCCTTCCTCTTCCTGTCCTGCTCCTTGGATGCGAACCAGCCTCCTCCAGGCACCTCCCACCTCGGAGTCCAGGATGAGGAAGGACCGCCAGGGGGCAGTGTGGCCATGTCTCCACGTGACTTAAGGCAACACCTCAGCTCCTTCCCTGACCCAGCCAGAGCCCTGCAGCCCCAGAGGGCACCTGCCCTTCCCAGGGAGGCCCTCCTCTCGGACTGCTTTCCTCGGGCACATTCTGCTCTTTGTTCTTTCCCTGCCCAGTGGCTCGTGTTCTAACAGCAGGTCTGGCTGCGGTTCTGCTGGGCGGTCCTCTGCCCGGCACAGACCAGTCATCAAAAACGGGATATTTGTGAACCAGTGGTACCCGCCCCCCAATAAAACGGAAGCAGTTGCCACACATACGAATAGGCATATGCGTGTGCCAGTTGAGTCTCGCTCCGCAGACCCGGTTGCGTGGGAGGCATCGCAGTTGTTTCTTTCAGCCATCACACTGGACTCGGGCATGTCGGACTCCTGACCCCACTCCCGAGGCCAGAGCCATGGCAGGGCCAGGGGCCACCCTCCACTCTGGCCATTGTGTTCGCAGCTCCGATCCTCTGGCCCCCTGCCCGGGCACTGGGCTCCTGCTGGGACACAGAATGTCAAGGAGAGAGACACACGGAGCCCGAGCAGTCGCCCTCCCCCTCCTCACCTTGCAGGAAATCGAGGTGTATTCGTGGGAAGGTCACAGGAACGTTGGAATCGGATGGACCAAGCTTTGAACTCGCCGCCGGCTGTGTGACAATGTGCCGATCTCTTCGCTGCTCTGGGCTCAGTTCCCCAATGTCGCCACCCCATGGAGCGTGTGAGGGCATCAGCTCCCCTGGCCAGAGTCCCAGCACTTGGTAGTGTTCGTACATGTTTGCTTTGTCCTATGGCACTGTCATGGGCACCCGCTTGCCCACTGCTTCCATCCCCCTTCCCCACAGCACCGTGGGTGTGGTTCCGGTGTGGGCCTGTCTGCCAAGACACTCGGGTTCTTCCCCAGGGAGGAAGCCACACCTGGCTGCCTGGGACAGAAGCAGCCTCAGGACTCCCGCGTGGACTTCAGGAACTCGGGCTGCAAGGGGGCCAGACCTGCTCCCCTGCGCCTCTCCCGGAGCAGAGCTGTCCTCTGTCCTCGCGCACAAAGCCTCACTGACCCTCGTCCAGACACATCCAACCCGGCGGGAGCACAGCCTGGCTGCCCGCTGGGTCCCACTGACTTGCTTCTGCTGATTAAACTTCATAATATAATTCCATCACCATCAATATCAACCATCAGCACCACCACCACCATCAGCATCAACCATCAGCACCACCACCACCATCTACATCAACTTCCCCACCACCACCAGTATCAACTGTCTCTACCATCACCACCACCACTACCATCATCTACATCAACCATCATCACCACCACCACCACCATCAATATCAACCATCATCACCACCATCCACATCAACCTCACCAACACCAACACTATCAGTATCAACTGTCTCTACCATCACCACCACCACTACCACCATCTACATCAACCTCCCACCAACACCATTAATATCAACCACCAACACCACCATCAGCACCACCACCACCAGCCACATTAACCTCCCTACTACCACCACCACCGGTATCAGCTATAATCACCACGAACACCAAGAACACAAGGCTTATAATTATGCATTTATTTTACTTTTCAAAATATATTCACATACATGACCTCATTAGCTCTTTCACACGTTGTAAGGTTTGAGGAACTGGCGTCATTATCCTCGTTTTATCTGTAATGAAGCAGATTCACACCAAAGTGGTGGCTAATGGAACCCGGACTAGAGTTGGGTCCTTCTGGCTCCAAAACGAATGCTTCTGTTCAGCGGACCACACTGTTTCAATGAAAACGAAGAACTTCCCACCCACTTCTGATGTGAACGACTCTGGTTCTACATTCCAGTTGGGGTCTTCAGAATGACTGGCCCTTTGGGACCATATATCCCAACCCCCACGCATCCCAGGTGAGCCACTAGCCCCCCAACGTTCTTGTCACCCCTAAAGTTGAAGTTTCATCCAGGCCTCTGGACTCCAAACTCAGCCTTCTCTCCGTGACCAAAGGCCACCTTCACGGGCCCCCAGGGGTCCCCCAGCTCTGAGGACGTGGCTGCCCCGAACCCTTCCCTGGAACACAAGCGTTTCTACTGAAGGGACAGTGTGGCCGAGCTCCTGCCCCTACAGTCTCGTCTCAAAGCTCCAGACGGCCCGAGAAGGACACAGGATGCTGGCTTTGGTCAACGCCACCCCTGGAAGTGCCCGGGCCAGGGAGGCCTTCCAGCCCCGACCTCCTGGTCCAGGTAAGCCCAGAGCACCCCCCCTGCCCCCGGCAGGCAGGCCGGGCCTCTTCTGTGGCGACCTGCCTGCCCTGCCTTCCACGGGTGCCCTAGATCTCGGTGTGGGGCCCGCTGTCCCTGCGCCCGGGCCCCAGGCTGGCCTGGCGGGGCTGCAGGGCGGCTGTGTTGCTGATGGTCAGTGTGGAGCACTTGGCTGCCCTGCTCGGGAGCCCTTTCTTTTTGAGTTCGGAGGTCAAGTTTAGGTAATAAATGTCTTCCAGGGACTTGTCGTTCTTCCTGAGGATGTTGCTGGCCAAGCGGAAGAGGAAGACCACCGCGTAGATGCCGAAGATGGTGAGGATGTACCAGGCGGCGCTGGTGCCGTCCGGGAGCCGCAGGGCCCTGGGGGGGCTGCTACTGTTCCTCCCCTCCGCCGAGTCCCGCAGCAGGTGCGCCAGGGTGTGGGCAGCGCCCGCCTGCGTCTGGTTGGAGGCTCCCCGGGCGGTCCACTCGGCCACTGAGAGACAGAGAGACCCAGGTGAGACCAGCATCCAGGGCCGGGGGCTGCCTGGCCACCAGGCCAGTGCCGGGAGGTCGTCGTGTCGGCGGGAAGCCCGGGACTGCGGGGGAGCCTCCTGCTCAATGGGCAGGAGCCTGACAACACGTCCGTACAGTTTTCAAAATCAAAGAGTTCAGAACCCCAAGCTGTGGGACAGGAGACGAAACATCATAAAGATGCCAATCGTCCCTGAAGTAACCTGCACAAGTAGCACCATCGCAATGAAAATGCCAGGAGAATTGCTTTGGGAGCCAGACAGACGGCGCATGGAGAAGTGAGCTGTCGAGGCTAACGGGAGAGAAGGTGGGGAAACGTGCTGGGTGGGAATCGGCCTCCCCGGGACGTCAGGCCCGCCAGGCAGGACCGCAGTTCGCCTTTTTCGGGAGAATGAGCCTTGTGCCTGCCCACAGCCTGCGGGGGCTCCCTGGGCGGTGCAGAGGGTGTGCAGGGCGCTGGAGGGCCCGGCCCAACGCTCCCTAAACAGCCTCCCCGAAACACACAGCAGCTGGAGCCGTGGGAGGCTGGGCTCAGATGGAGACCAATGGGCCCGAGCTGACGCCCCCGGAGGCAGCGCTGGGGTCTGTGGGTGACAAAGGGCCGTCCCTGCCCCGCGAGGGAAGGGGGTCACTCGGGAGCAATGGGCCCTGGGCCACGTCCTGTCCACCAGTGCAGAGAAGTCAGCAGTGACAGCGTGAAAAGAAGCCGTTTAGCCCTGGCCAGTGTGGCTCAGTGGATAGAGCGTCGGCCTGCGGACTGGGGGGTCCCGGGTTCGATTCCGGTCAAGGGCATGTACCTTGGTTGCGGGCACATCCCCAGTAGGGAGTGTGCAGGAGGCAGCTGATCGATGTTTCTCTCTCATCGATGTTTCTAACTCTCTGTCTCTCTCCCTTCCTCTCTATAAAAAATCAATAAAATATATATATATTAAAAAAATAAGCCATTTAAAGTGCTAGAGAAAAGCAGGGTAGATGGTCCCTTTATCATCTCCGAGTAGGACATCCCTCCTAAACAACCCAAAACTCAGAAGGGGAGAAAAGCAGACAAAAGAAAACAAGTGTTAAATTCAGCTAATAGAAGAATGTTGTTTCTGCGTACTATTAAACCAAGAACAACGACAAATGAGAAAATTTACAATTTATACCATTGAGTTTCTCTTCATAGCTTCTGGTTCTGGAAGAAAAAGCCCAAAATGCCAGTAGAAAAAAATATGCTAAGGATACAGACAATTAAGTTATAGAACATGCAAAAGGCTTCTCACTATTACTCACAACAAGAAAAATGCAAGTCAGAAGTACAAAAAAATAATGTTTTGTTACCTATCGGCTGCAAATGCAGTTTCAGAACGCACTGTGGATGTGTTTGCGTGGCTGCTGTGAGGTGAAATCACACGCCCAGCCTGCAGGGCGCGACAGCACCATCACTCACCTCTGACCCGGCCTCCCCCTGCGGGAACGTGTCCTGTGGCCACGCGGGGGCCTGGTGGGAGCAGTGCCTGTGTGAGGTAGTCCCTGCGGCACCTGGCCGCTGCCCGAGAAGGCGCTCCCCCTTCGGGAATGTGTCCTGTGGCCACTCGGGGGCCTGGTGGGAGCAGTGCCTGTGTGATGGAGTCCCTGCTGCTGCCCGCAAACAGCCTGAGCAGCACCGCCTTCTGACAGTGCAGTGCATTCTGGGACCCTGTGCAGTGGAGTACTATGCAGCCACGAAAATCAATTAAGAGCGTTTTTGGTACTAGATATTAATAAAAAAGTAACCCAAGTGTGACATAATGTGCAATCATGCGTATAAATGAAGGGGGGATGTGTTATCTGCTTGAAGCTTTCACATATATATGTGAAATATAAATATATATGGGATATAAATATATATATGAAATACAAATATATATGAAATATAAATATATGTGAAATGTAAATATATGTGAAATGTAAATATATATGAAATGTAAATATATGTGAAATATAAATATATGTGAAATATAAATATATGAAATATAAAATATATGAAATATAAATATATGTGAAATATAAATATATGTGAAATATAAAATATGTGAAATATAAAATATGTGAAATATAAATATATGTGAAATGTAAATATATGTGAAATGTAAATATATGTGAAATGTAAATATATGTGAAATATAAATATATGTGAAATATAAAATATGTGAAATATAAATATATGTGAAATATAAATATATGTGAAATGTAAATATATGTGAAATGTAAATATATGTGAAATATAAATATATGTGAAATATAAATATATATGAAATATAATATATATGAAATGTAAATACCTCTAGGAGAATAGGCCTAGTCGGACCCGCGGTGCCCACGGGAGGAATGGCGGGGAGGTGGCTTTGCCCGGACGCCCTCTAGTACATCGTGTACTGTGTGCATTTATTTTCACAAAGAAATGGCTTTAAAGCCGCAGAGCCCCAGCAGGCGCTGTCCGGCGGGCGCAGTGCCCTTGGGGAAAGCCGGCGCCCTTCCCAGGCCAGGAGATTAGCATCTAAACTGCTGTTTAACCCAAAACTGTTTTCGCTCCCAGGAGCCGCGAGCAGGAAGAGCGCAGCAGGAGCAGTGAGAAACGGAGGCCTCCCTGGAGCGTTCCGGGCCGAGTCCCGTGTCGGGCGCCTCGTGAGCACAGATGGAGTCAAACCGTGTCACAGCGTGAGCCCGTGGCCCGCTGCGGGGGGCACCGAAGGCTCCGTAATGCTTCTATGTGATGTTGTTGCTAATTCATTTCACTGACGCAAGATTCAGAGAGGCTGGTATTTTTTACGGGAGTTATTGTCAGAACGCGTGAATAACCTTAATACATGTATGTATGTATGTATGTATGTTTGTATGTATTTTTTATTCTATCACCTTTTATCCCCTGTGCCCTCCCCCCTTCACACATCCCCCTCCACGCCCGCAACCACCGCACTATCGTCCCTGTCCACCAATTCCCTCTTTTTTTTCTGTTTTGCTCAATCCCTTCACCACCACCTCCCCGCCCCCCAGGCTGGCAGCTGCTCTCTGAGTCGGTCTCTATTTTGCTTGGTGGTTCAGTTCATTAAGTCCCACATGGACCAGTAACCTGAGTGCTTTCAGATGAAGGAGAAACCGGTTAAAAATAAACTCTGCTCACCAATCTGGCTAAGCCCGAATGAGCAGACTTAAGTCGGTCCCTCGTGAGAAACACCACCACCCTCAGGCATTCCTCACCACAGTTGGTGGAACGCTCGCGAACGTTAGAAGGGGAAATGCCCATCATTATTTCAAAAAGCAACTCAACCCGCCAGGAACATCATGAACTTAATTAGGGCCAGAGGACTTGTTTAAACGCGGAACACGCGGATGAACTCATAGAATGTTCTGGAATTGTTTTGGAATGATGCCACATGTGCGAACACATACAAAAACACCCAACTGAAAACTACAGACAGGAACTCACTTGGAAACGGGCCATTTCCCACCTGAACAAAGCTCAGCCTGTTACTCAGCGAAGCACGCTGCTCTCTCCCTCTTCCCTGAGGACAGCAGGGTGGGCTGGGTGGCTTCTGTGGGTAAAGGTCCTGCAGAAGAAACAAGCCTTCCACCTGCGGCGTCCGCACGTGTGCGGATGCGAAATGGACAAGTGACGCCAGGGCGGCCAAGCTGGCAGCGGGAGAGCACTCACCCTCCATGCGGGAGCTCCTCCTCAGCGGGCGCCGTGCCCGAGGGCAGACGGCAGGGCAGCACCAGCAGAGACTGCAGCAAGGAGCTGGGTGAGTTGCCGCTCCTTCAGTTCCTCAGAGAACTGAGGGTCTGTCTGCTGTTGGCGCAGAATAGACGCGCCTCCTGCTCCGGCTCCTGGGGAAGGTCTGGAGCGAAGGAGCTGCTGGAACCCATGCTGGTCCCAAGGGTTGTCCAGCCCTCCCGTCGCCTCCAGCCCTCCCATCCCCTGCAGCCTGCGGGGCGGGCCTCTCCTGCCACTGGCTCCCGCCCTATGGCCTGGCGGCTCCTGCACGCCCCGTCTGCACCTGCAGCGGGCGGGGCGGGGGCAGGTGTGCCGAGGCCATGTCACGGGGCCAGGAGGCTCCAGGGGCCAGTCACCAACTTCCTCTGGGACTGTCCTGGCTCGGAAACAGGCAGGAGGCCACGGAGGACACAGCCCCGCAGGCTCAGGGAGCAGTGGGCCCGGCCAGGCGGGAGGGGTGTGAGTCACAGACACTCCATGAAGTGGGCCTATTCTAGCCCTGGAAAGGGTCCCCCCCATTCCTCCGGACCCCCCGCTAACAGGGCCATGACCTGCCGCACTTGTGAGGGGTGTGGGCTTTTATTTACTTATTTTTAATACTAGAGGCCTGTTGCACAAAGATTCGTGCAATAGGCCTTCTTTCCCCTGGCTGCCAGCACCAGTTTTCCTCTGGCACCCGGGACCCAGACCTTCACTCTGGCCACTGCCTTCCATCTTTGCTCTGGACACAGTCTTCGCTGCGGCTGGAGCCTTCAGTCTTTGCTCCTCGCTCCGGCGGGAGTCTTCAGTCTCCGGCCAGAGCTGCTCCTGTAGCTCCTTCCGCACCCCCACCCTCCCCCTCTTAGCTTGATCGCTGCAGACCTTGCCGACGGCCTTCTGGGTTCCAGGGGGCCACCTTGCCTGCGGCCCGGCTTTCTGATCACGATCACGATCATGGCCACAGGGTCCTGCCACCCAGGGCTGCACACAGGGGTCCCGGCTGGGGCCGGGGCTTAGGCGGCACACGGGGGCCTGATTGGCAGCTCACACTGGCTCGCCCTGCCTGCAGTATGCAAATTAGCTGCCATCTTTGTTGGTGGTTAATTTGCATATCCCACTGATTAGCCAATGGGAGGCGTAGTGAAGGTTCAGTCAATTACCATGTTTGTCTATTATTAGATAGGCTATTTCTGAGAGGGAGAGAGAGGGGAGAGAGAGAAACATCAATGATGAGAGGGAATCATTGATTGGCTGCCCCTGCACGTGCCCCACTGGAGATTGAGCCCGCAACCCAGGCCTGTGCCCTGACTGGTCCAGCCTTGCCCTCACTGTTTGCCCCTGGGCAAGGCCCTGCCCTCTGTGGTCCACAGCTCCTCACCTGTGAGCGGGGGAGGCCGGGACCCGCCGCCTCTGGTCCCAGGAAGCAGGAAGGAAGCTGGGCCCGGGGAGGCGAGCTCCCTGTGGGGGTGTCTGCACGGGAGCGCTGCCAACTCAGGTGCCTGGGGACAGGGAGGGGCGCGGGCAGCTGGTGCCCACGGTGCGGCTTCAGAGGTGAGTCACCTGTGCAGTCGCAGGGGCGGCATCCAGCTCGGCCCCGGAAGCCGGGGGCCCTGGGGAAGGTGGCCTTCATCCCCCCGAACAGGGCACTCGGTCAGGGAAGGCCCTGTGTCAGGGCTTCCCACGGGGCTGCTGCCAGAGTCCCTGCAGGACAGCAGTGGGTGCCCAGGGACAGGCAGGGACGCTCTCTCTGGCTCTGAGAGTGACGTGTCCCGTGTCACACAGCTCATGGGGGCCGGCGCCAAAGCTGCTCTCCCTTCACAGCCTGCACGTCCCCTTCAAGCCGGGCCAGGGTCCCCTGGACTCTCCGGTCACCTGCCCTGCAGGCGGAGCTGTGGACCGTCACCGCCCAGGCATATCCGTGACCTTGGAGCCCTCCTTGTTGGTCAATCATACTATGGTGGTAAAAGGCAGGACAATGGTCCCTGCCAGCGTGGTTCAGGGGTTAGCGCATTGGGTGACACACCGAAGGGTCACGGGTTCTATTCCTGGTCAAGGGCACGTACCTGGGTTGCAAGTTCAATCCTCCTGCCCTGGTCCAGGTGTGTGTGGGAGACAACCAATTGGCGTGTCTCTCACATTAATGCCTCTCTCTCTCTCTCTCTCTCCTTCTCCTTCTATTCCTCCCTTCCACTCTCTCTAAAAAGCAATGGAAAAAATACCATCAAGTAAGGATTTCTTAAAAAGTCAGGATAATGG